CAGTTAATTATTTGTAAAAGCATTACAAGGTTTCTGTTCCTTTTGGATTGTGTTTGATTTGTTGGAAAAGGATGTGGGTCAGAACAAGTATGCTGTCTAGTTATATGTGATAGTTTTGCTATTTCAACATTTACATTATGTTGATCTTTTCTTTGCTTTCTTGTCTATGACTGTAGTCAAGTTTTGTGACCGTGGTTTTCTTTAGAAAGTTCACCCAAACCTACCCTGATTATTCCAGTGAAGGAATTATCAGGTTGTGTTTTTGGGTATGTCTTAAAGAATACCTTCCTGTCAGTGGTGGGATTCAAATTTTTTTTACTACCGGTCCTGTGGGCATGGCTTGGTGGGTGTGGCATGGTTGGTGAGCGTGGCTTGGTGGCTGTGGCAGGGGAAGGACATTGCAAAATTTCCATTCCCTCCCCACCCCACTAGCCTGCTTTCCAGCTCCGTTCTCCTGTGCAAGGCAACCAAAGAAGACCCAGCCAATCAGCAGGGACTTGGGAAGCAGAGAATAGATGGGGATGGGACCAGTCAGAGGTGGTATTTGCCGGTTCTCTGAACTGCTCAAAATTTCTGCTACCGGTTCTCCAGAACTGGTCAGAAGCTGCTGAATACCACCTCTGCTTCCTATGCCAACTAGGGAAGATCTAAAATTTAAATTTCTAACTTCTAACACTTAATAATGAATTCAACTTTGTGACAATTCTGCTGGCTAATTAACACTATTCCAATTGGTTTCTAATTTGGTAATACAAAGAAGATTGTGTTTCCTTCAGTTTCCGCTCCTTCTTTGATAAGGAGACTCATTTATTCTTATCAGGGCCAGAGACAGCTTTGATTGCAATTGTATTTTCAAAACACGCAGAAACCCTCAGGGCACAACCATAATGATGCCTTTGTCCCCGCCAGTAATCTCTTTTCCGTTTAGCAAAATAACTGGATGACCAGTGCCATCTCCTGCCAATTAATCCAGAAAAGTTTTGTTCTGAGTGAAAAAGGGATGATTCCAAAGGAAGAACACAAGGGAGTGGAGATCAAAGCCAGGCTCCCAAGTCATGTTAAACCCTAAAAACAGTTTTGCAAATGCAGTGGCTACATCATGAATCTGCAAAAAAAAAAAGGGGGATGAGTTTCAGTGGTGGTATTCTACCGGTTTGGCCCAGTTCTACTGAGCCGGTAGCACCGATGAGCATCGGACCGGCCTGCCTGGGCTCCCATGCTCACCTTTATTCCCTGCTTTTGAAGCACAGCTGCTTTGCACGGCACAGCAGAGTGTCGCACGGCAGCTGCTGAAGCGACAGGAGAGTGCAGGCTTGAAGGAGGTGAGTCAGAAAGCCTCTGTGCCTGTGCAAAGTGCGCATTTGGCATGCGCATGCACGCAAAATGTGTGCATGTGCACAAAGTGCGCCCACCAAGCTATGCCCACCGAGCTGATGGTAAAAATCTTTGAAATCCCACCACTGATGAGTTCACACACTATGCTGATCCACAAACTACCCAACTTGGCCAAGCCTAACATATTGTCAGAACCCAGTTTAATGTAATCTTGCATATATCTGCTCTGATGTACCTTTCACACATTCAGAGGGACAAGTAAGAATTGTCTAAGAGTTATCTAAGAGTTTAGCTGTGTTTATTTTGACCCAAAGACTGTCTCAAATTGGGGATTTCAGCATCACATTCAATTTTTCTTTCTCCCTTAGATATATAGGTAGTCCTCAACTTACAACAGTTCTCTTAGCTACAATGGCACTGAAAAAAAGTGACTTGTGACCGCTTTTCACACTTATGATCACTGAAACATCCCCATGGACACGTGATCAAAATTCAGATGCTTGGCTAGTGACTCACATTTATGACAGTGGCAGGGTCCCTGGGTCATGTGATCCCCTTTTGCGACCTTCTGACAAGCAAAGTCAATGGGGAAACCAGATTCACTTTACAACTGTGTTACTAATTTAACAACGGCAGGGATTCACTTAATGAACATGGCAAGAAAAGTTGTAAAGTGGGGCAAAACTCACGTAACAAATTTCTCAGTTAGCAATATAAATGTTGGGCTCAATTGTGGTCATAAGCTGAGGACTACCTGTAGTAAGCAGTTGATCTGAATCTTATAGTAAAAGCCTAGGGCTAGGAAGCAGGGAGAATCCCACAAAAGAAACTACTTAAGTCTGTGGTGCAAAAAGGACCTCATGTATCCATCCTTTGTGGTCCTCAGAGTACTTCAACAGAGAAGGGGGGAAATGGGACCCTATGTCCCATTTTTTTGGAACTTGGAAAGCTTTACAAGACAAAATACTCAATCTCAGGTGAGCAAGGCATCAACTTAGCCGATTAAAAGTCCTCAAGTACAGCTAGTCCAAGTACAACCGTTCATTTATTGAGCATTCATTAAGTGGCATCAGTATTTTGGTGGTGCAATGGTTAGAATGCAGTATTGCAGGCTAACACTGCCCACAGCCAGGAGTTCAATCCTGATCACCTCAAGGTTGACTCATCCTTCTATCCTTCCAAGATTGCTAAAATGAGGACCCAGATTGTTTGGGAAAAGATGCTGACCTTGTAAGCTCAAAAGGCACTGTAAAGCACTATAGAGCAGAATATAAGTCTAAGGGCTATTGCTATTTATTTATTCATTCATTCATTCATTCATTCATTCATTCATTTATTTATTGAATTTATATTGCCGCCTATTTGCCCATGGTGACTCGAGGTGGCTTACAGAATGCAAAACCATTTTTAAAATAAAAAACAATAAAAGCTAACAAAAAGAATCAAACAAATTAATAAAGTATAATAGAACAAAATCAATAAATCAATCACCCCCCAATTCCCACCCCCCCCCCCGAAGACAGCAGATCACACAAGCCGTTTGATCCTGAGAAATGGTGGGAAGTTGGCAAAACAGGAGAACAATCAGGGTAAAATTTTTAAAAAAGCAAAGTGATTATTTTACATTATCATCTTCCTTGGGGATCCAAAGAAATTACAGATTTAAGCTGCATGTTTTATGGGAAAATTAACTATGGGTATTAAATTATATTTATTAGAACAGAATGAGCAACCAGCAATACAGCAAAATCATTTAGTGATTTCTCTATCCAAAGGCAGAGATCTTGTATTGCTACAACAACACTTAAAAAAGAGAGACTTATGACCATTTTTCATACTTATGACCATTGCAGCATCCTCATGGTCACATGGTCAAAATTTGGATGTTTGCTAACTGGCATGTATTTGTGGCTGTTGGTGTTCTGGGATCATGTAATCATCTTTCTGACAAGCAAAGGCAATGGGGAAGCCAAATTTACTTAATAACCATGTTACTAATTTGATAACTGCTGTGATTCATCTAACAACTGTACAAGAAAAGTTGCAAAATGGGGCAACATTTACTTAACAACTGTCTTGCTTAGCGCCGGAGATTTGGGGCTCAATTGTGGTTGTAAGTCAAGAACTACATATAGCTTTCCAGAATAGGCCCTGGACTGACCTAGTATTGGTGTCAACTCATAAAATATTGCTATGGTCTTTTTAGAGTTGTCAACAGAAAGGGAGAGGGGGAAAGGGGTTTGAAAGAGCAGTGAAAGCGAAAGTGCATTCCATAAATAGTTTTTCAAAGATAGTAACTAGGTGACTGAAGTGTCTGCTGTGCAAAATTCTAAGTGGAGAACATGATTGATGACTCTTGGCTATGGATGTGCCTCATTGGAGAATATCAATTATGATATAGGGGGTGGGGAAAAACCAGGGTCAAGGGTGACAATGAATTATGTGTCTCAGAGTTGGCTACACCCAGGCAATGCTGGACATGTTAACTCCCAACAAATCATTTTGAAGTTTTGGAAACTTGCTCGAGACTTATGATTTAATTGGGGTAACTGCCGGAATCCTGACAATTGGTGGGAGATTCTCAAACCAGAGGTAATATTCACCTCAAATCAGAGGTGGTATTCTGGCATTAAAAGTGGTATTAAAATTTTTGACTGGTTCAGAGAACCAGCAAATACCACCTCTGGATGGCCTCACCTACCCTGCTCCCGCTCTTAACCTCTCCTATATTCTGTTGTTTATTACCTCAGCTGATTTGCGTGGCAGAGCGGATTGCCGTGCCTCAGCTGAGGTAAAATACAGCACAGCTCACCATCATTGATAAAGAGGACGGTCTCTGAGCCCTTTTTGCATATGTGTGAAACGCGCATTTGGTGCATGCGTGTGTTAGGCATGCCTGCACAGCTCACCAGCATTGATACAGAGGGCAGTGTTTGAGCCCTGTGCATGCGCGTGCGAAGTGAAGTCTCCAACCTGGTAGGAAATTTTTTGAAACCTACCACTGTCTCAAACTAACAAATGTTTAATATTTTTGAGCAAAGGAGAGTAGGAAATGACTAGAACAGCATCAGATAAGCTTCAAGCCAACTTCCAAGTTATGGGCAAACTTGCCCTGGTTATCCTTTCTTCTTATTTTCTTCTTTCTTGTTTTTCTAAAAAAAATTTTTTCATAGTCAAGAACCGCTGGCTAGATATGTAGTCAATAACAAGCACTGGTTTTATTATTCTGACTTTAAAATAATAATATACATGTTTGCCCCCCAAAAATCTCCACCCTTGGATGGAGAAATCACTAAATGATTTTGCTATATTTCTGATTGCTCATTCTGTTCTAATAAACATAATTTAATACCCATAGTTAATTTTCTCATAAAACTTGAAGATCAAATGTGTCATTTCTTTGGTTCCCCAAGGAAGATGATAATGTAAAATAATCATCTTGCTTTTTTTAAAAATTTTACCCTGATTGTTCTCCTGTTTTGCCAACTTCCCACCATTTCTTAGGATACCAGGCCATTTCTTGAAAGGATGCAAATTTCCTACTGTACACTTTCCAGCTCTCCCAGTCACTAGAGGGCGCTCATGAAGTTTGAAATATCTATTTTTTTTTTTTTTTTTAAAAAAGCAATCTGAAAGAACTATATTATAGTTCTTCCGTTGGCGAACTGCTTTTTTCCGTTTTTTAAAAACGCCTCCTTTCTTCTCTTCCTTTTTTCGGACAGAACAGCTGAAGAAGCCGAACAGAGAGAGGAAGAATGCTGGAGACCCAACAGAGGGAAGAAGTAGATGAAGGCTGAGATAAGAAAGATAGACATAGAGAGAAGGAAAAAGAAAACACCAGAAAACAAGGGTAGAGGGGGAAAAAAATCACAACTGGAATAAACTGATGCAGGAAGATTGATTGATGGCACGACAGAGACCGGTGGCGGGCAACATTTGATGGACTAATAGCAAAGGGATGTGCATTCAGAATCTTTCCAGCATTCCCATTGTTTCTGTGAGCAAAAGAAGATAGGGGGTGCAGAGAAACCGATCAAAGAAAGAAAGAGGGAGAGAAATGGGATAAAGAGAACAAAAGAGCACAACTCAGAACTAACAGCCCAGAGAGAAAGCTCCCGATTGCCTGCCCTCTCCATCCATCGCAGCTTTCCAACTCTCCAAACTTCTGATCTCATGTCAGGACGTGCCATTCGAGCCGAGACGAGGAGCCGGGCAAAAGATGACATCAAGAAAGTGATGGCTGCTATTGAGCATGTCCGGAGATGGTGAGCACAATTTGGGGAATGGGGGTAACTGGGGAGGGGGAGCAGGGGAGCGGGGGGGGGGGGGGGGGGGGGGGGGGGAGGAGGACTTTGGTGAGAAAGCGACAGGTTGCCCCATGCATATCCGACTGTGTTTAGGAAGGTTCCAGGCTGGCGGAGGATGGGTGATCTCAAAACATTTGGAGAGTACCAAGAAGGCCTGTTTTGGTGGGAAGTGACTGATGGGGGGGGGGGGTGTTGATTATGATTCGAGTGCCTGATATTATATTTTGGGTATTTTGTCTTGAGCGATCCTTCCCCTTTCCTCATCAAATCGTCACAGGAGAGGCATTATCTGCAGCCACTTAACGGTTTGAATGCCTGCAGCTTTTCCTGTAGGGGAGAATATAGTCTGGCTGCTGTCTGTTTCTACTGAATCTGAAATGTATGTATTTATTTATTTAGTCCTCCTCTTCGTTAAACTAGACATATTCAGTTCCTGCAATTGGTCTTCATGTTTTAGCCCTCAGTCCCCAGTAAGCTGGCTGGGGAATTCTGGGAGTTGAAATCTTCAAAATGCCAAGGTTGAAAAAAAAGGATACAGACTCAATGTCTTCAAGTTGCCAAGGTTGAAAAACATGGATACACAGAGAATGTTGATCAGGTTCATCTTCTCACTGGAAAGATATCTTCCCAGACTATCCTTGGAATGTCAGAAAGATATTGAAAAATCAAGATAGATGGAAGAGAATTGAATACTGTTAGGAAAGCTACATAACATTAGGATAATATTTTAAAACACCCCAAAGAAACTGCGATACTCTGCGTAAGCCCAGAAGCTAAATATGGTTATACTTAGTGAATGAATAGGCCTCCACTAGAAAACCACAGAAATCTAGGCTAGTCTGGAAGAAGGCAAAAGTACGAGATTGACTTCATTCCGAGAATACTACATGGTTGCATCCACAAAGTTATCAGCAGTTAATGGTTAAGATGCTGGATTAGTTGACGGAAAGTTGGCAATTCAAGACCCAAGCACTGTGTGATGGAATGAGCACCATTCTTAGCAGTTAGCAGTTTTAAACCATGCAAATGCGAGTTGATAAATAGGTACCACTTTGGTGGGAAAGTAACAGTGTTCTGTGCACCTTGGTGTATAGTCATGCTGGCTACATGACCATGAGAGTGTTTTCAGACAACTCTGGCTCCCTTGGCTAGAAACAGAGATGAGCACCACCACCACCCCCAGAATAAAAAACAACTGGACAGGGGAAATCTTTAGGTAAAGGTAAAGGTTCTCCTTGCACATACGTGCTAGTTGTTTCCGGCTCTAGGGGGCTGTGCTCATCTCTGTTACAAAGCCGAAGAGCCAGCGTTGTCCAAAGACATCTCTGTGGTCATGTGGCTGTCATGACTAAGCACCGAAGATACATGGAATGCTGTTACCTTCCCACCAAAGGTGGTCCCTATTTTTCTACTTGCATTTTTACAGGCTTTCGAACTGCTAGGTTGGCAGAAGCTGGGGCAAGTAATGGGAGCTCACTCCATTAGGTGGTGCTAGAGATTCGAACCGCCAAACTGCCAATCTTTCTGATTGACCAGCTCAGCGTCTTAGCCACTGAGCCACCGCGTAAAGGGAAATCTTTACCTTTTCTAAAAGCTCAATTCAGAGAAAATTTTACTTTTTTAGCCCAACACTTCCAAAAGTCAGAAGTGGAGAATTAATGCAAGTGGTTCCATTTTATCCTGCCATTTTTCTTTTTCTAGGGAAAAGCGTTGGGTGACGGTGGGAGACACCTCTTTACGAATTTACAAGTGGGTACCTATTATGGACCCTCAAGACGAGGTGAGAAAGAGGCTGGCTGGTTTCTCATGAGGGCTTTTGCCTTTAGCACTTCTAGTTTCACTTATTTGTTTCCCTCTCTTACGTTGTAGGAAAAAGGATGTTTGGGAAGTAGCAAAGAGCAGCAGCCCACCAAAGAGAGAAAGTTTCCTCGAAGCAATCCTGCTCTGCTCATGTTGGACCTGAATGGTACATTTTGGGACAGTTAGGGCAGCGGTGGGAGTCAATTTTTTTTTTTACTACCGTTTCTGTGGGCGTGGCTTGGTGGGCTTTGTGTGGCTTGATGAGCATGGCAGGGGAAGGATACTGTGAAATAACAGATAACAGATAATCAGAGTTGGAAGGGACCTTGTAAGTCATCTAGCCCAACCCTCTGCCCAAGCAGGAGACCCTACACCATTTCTGACAGATGGCAGTCTCTTCTTGAAAGTCTCAAGTAATGATGCTCCCATAACTTCCAAGGGCAACTTCTGTTCCATTGGTTGATTCTGTTCCATTGGTTGACTGTCAGAAAGTTTCTTCTTATTTTCAGGTTAATCTTCCCTTTTTTTTCAGTTTCCATCCCTTGTTCCTTGTCTGGCCTTCGGGTGCTTTGGAAAATAGCTTGAGCCCCCTCCTCATTGTGGCAGCCCCTCAAATATTAGAAGATTGCTATCATGTCTCCCCTGGTCCTTCTCTTCACTAGACTACCCATGCCCAGTTCCTGTAACCATTCTTCATATGTTTTAGCCTCCAGTCCCCTCATCATCCTGGTTGCTCTACTCAGTACTTTTTGTAGAATCTCAGCATCTTTTTAATAGTGTGGTGACCAAAACTGGATGCAGTAATCTAGGTGTGGTCTTACTAAGGCTTTATAGAATGGTGTTAGTACCTCACTTGATCTTGATTGTATCTCTCTATTAATGCAACTTAGGATTGCATTAGCTTTTTTGGGCTGCTGCTGCATACTGCTGGCTCCTATTTAGCTGGTTGTCCATTAAGACTCCAAGATCCCTCTCACAGTTACTTCTTTAGAGCCTGGTTTCACCCAGTCTGTATGTGTAGTTTTGGTTTTTCTTGCCTAAGTGTAGGACTTTACTTTTCTCTACATTGAATTTCATTTTGTTAAATATGGCCCAGTGTTCTAGTCTGTCAGGATCCATCTGGAACTTGAGCCTATCTTCTTGGTTGTTAGTTAAATCTCCATTCCCTTCCCACTCCAGGGGAAGGTTACTGCAAAATCTCCATTCTCTCCCCACCCCATTAACCTGCTTTCCAGCTCCATTCTCCTGTGCAGGGCAACAAAAGCTGGGACTCGGGAGGCAGAGAATAGATGGGGGCCGGGCCAGTCAGAGGTGGTATTTGCCAGTTCTCTGAACTACTCAAAATTTCCGCCACCCGTTCTCCAGAACTGGTCAGAACCTGCTGAATACCAACTCTGAGGCAGGGGGAGGAAAGGACATTTTATATTTCTTTACAAGGGCCTTGTAAAATTTGGCATCTCGGACCCTCCCTACACATATAGATAGTCCTTGGCTTACAACCACAATAGAGCCCAAAATTTGTGTTGCTAAGTCAGACAATTGTTGAGTGAGTTTTGACGCATTTTATGACCTTTCTTGACATAGTTGTTAAGTGAATCACTGCGGTCATTAAGTTAGCCATATGGTTGTTATGTAAATTTGGCTTCGACTTTGCTTGTTAGAAGATCGCAAAAGAGGATCACGTGGCCTTGGGACACTGCAGCCGTCATAAATATGAACAGTTGCCAAGTGTCTGGATTTTGATCACGTGACTATGGGAAAGCTACAACAGTCCTAAGTGTGAAAAACAGTCATAAATCACTTTTTCAGTGTCGTATCTTTGAACGGCATGCTGTGTACCAGTGCTGGTCCATGGACCGGGGTTAAGGACCCCTGCTCTACAGTATTAGAGATGCTTTAGCCTAGTGTTTCTCAACCACACCTTTAGGAGGTGTGGCTTTCAACTCCCAGAATTTCTTAACCAGCTGGCCTCTATGATATAGGTCAGGGGTCTTCAGACTTTGCAAGTTTAAGACTTGTGGACTTCAACTCCCAGAATTTCTGAGCTAACATAACTGGAGGAGGAATTCCTGGGTTCCTGGCATCAAAGGGGAAGGGAGGAGGGGAGGCATTTGTGGCAGGCCATAGCTGTGTATCTAATAATGGGAAATGGGGAGAGGGAAGTCATAACAGAAGTAGACCATATCACCAAAGCAGCTTATACCAGGATCTTCAAGGCCGTTTACCCTGAGAATGGAATGTTATCAGTTTCCCACCTCAGAGTTTCTCAAAACATCATTCCGGCACCTTCTCAAAACATCATATTGGTATCGCATTGGCTGACTGGGGTAATGGCCAGGGGAAGAGTTGGAAAGAATAGCCTTTATTTATTTTGCACAGAAACACCTGATTTTGCCTGACATTGCTGCAACCAGTTTCTTTCAAGTAAATGAGGTCATGAGTTTTACTTCCCTAAGAGAGCAAACTGGTGCAGGTGTGACATTAACAATAGCATGATCCACTTAACAATGCAGTGATTTGCTTGCCAACGTTGGCTAAAAAGGTAGTAAAATTGGGCACAACTCACTTAGCAACCGTATTCCTTGCAACAGAAATTCTGGCTGTAAGTCAAGGACTACCTGTACACTCCTGCTTTATGGTTCTACTACACCTTGGCTCTTTGAATGTTGCTAAACTACAGTTTGCCTCAGCTGGTCGTCGCTGCTGGGAACAGAGCTTCACCCTTTCTCATTCCACATCTTAGTTCCATCAGTGGATACTCAGGCATTCACAGGACATCAATGGTAGACTGCTGTTGGACCTGGAGTCTCCACGCACCCCTAGTAATTAAAAAAGAACCTTCCCGGTCTCCAGATACAGTCCTTCTTGGCCCTGTTTTGTTTTCCAACAGATGAGAACAGCAACCAGAGTTCTCTTTCGGAGACGTCCCTGCTGAAAGGAGGTGACACCAGCACAAGCCCCACCCCCACCCCAGATCGAAGCCAGACCGTGACTCCCACCCTTATAGGAGAGTTGAAGACAGAAGATTTGCAGCCCCCTTTGTTGGGGCAAGAGGGAGGTAAGTTCATTTGGGGAGAGATCTGTAGATATTAAGCAACAGCCCATGTTGTCTTGTGCCCATGACCTTGCTGGACTTATCGGAGGAGGAGGAGGAGGAGGAAGGAGGGAATGGGAAGGAGAGGAAGAGGAGGTTTCTCAGCCTTTGCAGTTTGAGGCTTTGTTTGACTTCAATTCCCAGAATTCTCAATCTCAGGAATTCTGGAAGTTGACGTCCACACATCTTCAAGTTGCCCAGACTGAGAAACTCGTGAGTTAGAGTGTGTAATGGCATTTGGGAATAGCTTTGGGAGAGAAGAGAAAGAGCCATGCAAAATTTAGATTTCAGACAGCTGAGCCTGCAGAATAAATGGGGACGTGGAAAATGTCTCAGAAGGGACCCTCACTAGTTATTTTCATTGTAAAGGCAAGAGGGGAGAAATGTACTTTCAGACTTGCAAGATTTTGTTAACGTAACTGTCACCTTCAAATCGAACTTGGCAGAAGCCATTTTTCTATTCCTCAGTTACCAAGCAGGGTGAGGAGGTGGGAAGGAGGATGGAATGCTTTGCTAGACACAACACAGATCTTTCTCTTGAGAACCAAGGTCATCTCAACAGACAATGGATAGAGGCAGGGAGGAGTGCCTAGAGAGCCTTCCAATTAACCTAATTGGCCAACATGACTCATTGTACACCTGTACTCTGACAATAAAGGTAGTAGTAGTAGTAGTAGTAGTAGTAGTAGTAGTAGTAGTAGTAATAATAATAATAATACATTTTTCAGAAAATCTGCTGGAATTTGTCTCTTTTTGATTGATTCTTTTTCTGCATACAGATTCTGGGGTGCTCCTTCTTGAGGGAACCGATGACCCTCCCAAGCTTAGCAAAGAAAAACCAGATCTCATGACATCTGGTTTCCAGGTGAATGTGTTGATTGTGGAAAAAAAGCTGAGGATTCGGGGTAGGAGGGGAGGTCAAAAAATTCAAGATGGCCATCACCATGCAATCAAAGCCTCAGCCTTTTTTAAAAATGTGTGAAAATGAGGAAATTATTATGAACAAAATGCTATCAGATGTCTTCCAAATACAGTATTCTTTGTTCTTTCTTAGCCATTTTCTTACTTTCTTTTGTATCCTATTATTGTAACAATTTAAAACTATTTTTTTTAAAGAATGTTTAAAAAATGGTCAGTCAGATATATTACTTTGGAGTTTTGAAACTTTTGATGCCCTCCTGAATGCAGTACAATACTCTTACGTGCTTGTAAATAGTCCTCTGTTTATGACACAATTGAGCCCAACTTTTCTGTTGCTAAGCAAGTCAATTTTGTTCCATTTTATGATCCTTCTTCCCCACGGTTAAGTGAATCACTGCAGTTGTTAAGTTAACAACGTGGTTTTGAAATGAATCTGGCTTCTCCATTGGCTTGTCTGAAGGTCGCAAAAGGGGATCGATCCTATGACTCTGGGACACTGCAACCTTTATAAATACAGGCTGTTTGCCAAGCATTTGAATTTTGATCACATGACCATGGGAAAGGTGCAACAGTTGTTAAGTATGAAAAACAGTCATGTGTCACTTTTTTCAGCGCTGTTGTAACTTTGAATATTAATAGCACTTAGATTTATATACCGCTTCACAGTGCTTTATTGCCCTCTCTAAGCAGTTTACAGAGTCAGCATATTGTCCCCAACAATCCGGGTCCTCATTTTACTGACCTCGGAAGGATGGAAGGCTGAGCCTGGAGTGAGCAGGGAGTTAGCCCTGCAGTACTGCCTTCTAACTACTGCACCATCATGTGAATCTTAGTGAATGGTCCCTAAACAAATGGTTATAAGTTGTTTATATGGTTATAAGTTGGCCCAGAATTACAGGTTCCATTTTTAATCTTCTTTTCTTGTAAAAAAACAAAACAAAACAAGGATCCCTTACCACTGAATTTGCAAAGCAGAATTTCTGAATATTTTGAGATGCACAAATGTGGAATCAGATTTTGAGCACAATATTGTGGTTTTCCCCTTTATCTGAGTGAAAGGTTTAGGCTGGAAAGTCTGAGATAGAAGGTCACTGTCAACTTTGAAACAGATCGGGCTTGTGTGGGCCATTTTCTGTTTCTCAGCTTGATGCACTTCGAGGGAGAGGAGGGAGCTGTGGAATGTCAGACCAGACATCAACAACTTACTATCTCGTAGGAACCAAGGTCATTCCAACAGCTGCTGGCCAGAGACTAGAAGCTTACCAAGGAGACGCCAGAACACCAAGTGGGTCAACATGACCTGTGAAAAGGGAGGCAGGGAGCTGTCTATTTTTTAACTATACTGAAAGTATGGGAAATAGCCAGAGCTGGTTTTGCATTTCAAAAGTGCCGAAATGAGGTGCTCCATAAAGCTGTTCTTTGAGAAAGCCGAAAGTCTTAAAAGTTGCTGGATTCAAATAAAATAAAATAAAATAAAACATTTATTGTCAATGCACAACATGTGTACAATGAAATTGAAAATTGATTGGTTGAGTTCATTACTCGGAACCTTGATAGTGAGTTGAGTGTTAAGATTAGGGTTACTAAACTCTGGTAATATGGATGGGTGACTGAGGAATTCTAGTACATATAGTCTTCAACTTATAACAGTTCATTCAGTGACCGTTCAAAGTTGCAACAGCACTGGAAAAAGTGACTTATGACTGGTTTTCATGCTTATGACCGTTGCAATATCCTTATGGTCACGTGATCAAAATTCAGACACTTGACCTGTTTGACACTTGATATATTTTGACTAAAATTCAAACATTTGACACTCATATTTATGATGCTTGCAATGTCCTGGGGTCATGTGATCACCTTTTATTTTTGTATTGAATGTATTTTTTTCTTTGTATGAACACTGAAAGCATTTGCACCAAAACAAATTCTTTGTGTGTCCAATCACACTTGGCCAATAAAGAATTCTATTCTATTCTATTCTATTCTATTCTATTCTATTCTATTCTATTCTATTCTATTCTATTCTATTCTATTCTTATGCTATGCTATTCTTATTCTTATTCTATGCTATGCTATGCTTATTTTTATTCTATTCTATTCTATTCTATTCTGTTCTGTTCTGTTCTGTTCTGTTCTGTTCTGTTCTATTCCATTCCATTCCATTCCATTCCATTCCTTGACTTTCTGACAAAGAAAGTGAAATTCACATAAATGTATTACTAACTTAACAGCTGCAGCGATTTGCTAAACAACTGGGACAGGAAAGGTCATAAAATGGAGCAAAACCCACTTATCAAATGTTTCACTTAACGACAAAACGTTTGGGCTCAATTGAGGTCATAAATGAACTATGTGGACTGCAGTGGAGTTGAAGTCAGCACTGAGTTGTCAAGCTTGAGAGACGCTGGTTAAGAGCTTCCTTTGCTTGTCTTCCAGGCCACGGACACAGCAGCTTGCTTGGAACCCACCAGAGATGTGGAAGAACGAACATCTGAAGTGGAGGAATCTTCCTTGTCAGAAGCCCCTCCCCGGAAGCGGACCCGTAAAGAGGAACAAGCTTTGCAGGCTACCCCACTGTCTGAGGCTTAACTTCAAGCTTTAGGCCTGTCCTTCCCATTTCTTTAGACAGATGGATCTACGGTATGTAGGGAAATGTGACATAATGTTAGCTAAATATGGTGCGGTCCAAACCATCTGTCTCTGCAACATGTGATTGCTGTAGTATTTCCTGCTGCCCTCTTGTGACAACACTGTTTACCTGAAGCATACATGTTTTATGCATGCATGGAAATGAAATATGGCTGTGGGAAGGGAGGGCTATGACCAAAAGCAATCATGGAGACTTGCAGAAATGAGAAAAGCTGTTTACCTTACTTATGCAGAAATGTGATTTATATATTGGGAATACGAGAGAGTAAAAGTAAAGCACACATTAGGAAGGCCAAAAGCTTCCTAAATTCTTTCTTCTAGCCTAGTTTTTCAGCCTGTAGTTTAAAAGCAAGGCTACAATTTTATATCCATTCCAAATCCAAATTTTGCAGCACGGAAACACATATTCTGGGAAAAGAGCAAGAAGCACAATTTACTTATTTAATAATGCTAATGTTTAAGGTACTGGAGGCTTTTTGAGTGTGTGTGTAAAAACTGAAAAAGGCATGCAAGATGTGATTCTGTTATGGATAGCCATTTGTATGGAATGGTATAGGGTCTTCTACTTGATCAGGGGGTTGGACTAGAACAGGGGTCCTCAACCTTGGCAACTTTAAGACTTGTGGACTTCAACTTCCAGAGTTGAAGTCCACAAGTCTTAAAGTTGCCAAGTTGGAGACCCCTGGACTAGAAGCTTCCAAGGTCTCTTCCAACCCTATTATTGTGTTCTCTGTTTGCAGATGACAAATCCAATGCTGCTTTGCCAGCAGAGAAAACAGATCTAACTTTGATGTCGAGGCTCAAATAAGGCCTGGAATTAAGCCTCCGTTGAAATGATTAACTTTGCTCTAAAGCAGGAATGGGCAAGTATGGCCCCTTTATGACTCTGGGACTTCAACTCCCATAATTCCTGAGCCAGCCATGCAGGAATTCTGGGAGTTGAAGGCTACAGGTCTAGAATGTAAAAAAAACCCCACCAACCCACTTGTAACAGGAAGGTTTCCTGCTTTGATTCAGTTGCCACTTCAAAGATGTCCCATTTATGCCCACTGCAAAGACTAATTGGTAGGGAAAAGCAAACAAGGCAGTAACGGCGGGATTTTGCTCTGGGGTTGAAGGATGCCAGGGGAAATGTAGAAAGTCATAGTTTTCTGGGTAACAGGCAAAACAAAGTTTGCTTTCTCCTAAGGGATGATTCCAGCCAAATGAAATGTGTAGGGCTGAGACATGTTTAGGAGCTGGTTTATAGTGTCAGGCTGTAATTATGTCATTTGCACCAGCTGCATCATTCAAATCATTTGCATCCAGGTAGACCATCAAGGGAAATGACAGAAGTTTCACACTCCAGTATACATAGTCCTTGATTTACAACTATTCATTTAGTGACCATTCAAAGTCACAATAGCACTGAACTGTGACTGTCTTTCACACATACAACTATTGCAACATCCCCATGGTCACATGATCAAAATTCAGGTGCTTGACAACTGGCTTATATTTATGATGATTGTTTCCTGGAGTCATGTGATTACTTTTTACTATCTTTGGATAAACAAAGTCAATGGGATAGCCAGGTTCACTTAACAATTGTGGTGCTGCTAATTTAACAACTGCAGTGATTCACTTAACAGCTGTGGCAAAAAATGTCATAAAATGGGACAAAATTCACTTAACGACTGTCTTGCTTAGCAACAGAAATTTTGGGTTCAATTGTGGAGATAAGTCAAGGACTTCTTGCATAGTCGAGGAGTACCTGTAAAGCATCATGATGTGATGTCATGCAGCCCTCACAGATGCTAGTGGTGCAGAGTTGCAACCAGAGAATAAAAATAATAATGCTTTCTAACATTTTAGGAAGGAAAAAAAAACATTGTAGGCTGCTTACTAAAGATACAAAATTCATTAGAATTTATGGACGGGTGTGAATGCAGTTTTGTCCTTCAGGCTTCCTTTTCTTAAGATCGGCCAAATTTCAAGCGTATTTATTTTCTCCAAGCATGTTTGAAACACTACAATCCAGAAATTGTGACAATCCACATTGACCATCCATATAGATAAGAAACACTTGTCTGCATTATTTGGCAAACGTATATGGCATTAGAAAGTCATTCACCAATTGTGAATTTACCTGAAGGAAGAGATGCTATTGTATCAATTTGACCCATAGGGTATAGTCACACAATTTCTAAAATACATCTGAGTTCTCAATGGAGGTTTTTCATGTGTGAAATCATTCACACATCATGAATGAAGACCTTCATTCATAAAAGATTAAGGCAGTAGTAGCTAGTGAAAATGTAGTATTATTTGATTTAGCAATAACATACTAGCATTTTTATATCTATGGTTTTATAAATGTTAAATTTTACATTGTAATTTTCATAGCTTATAAACTCTTATTCCTCATTCAGAAGTCTGTAGTGTTTTTTTTATCTTAAAGAAAAAGTGGTTATTTCTTAAAATTGACATTTTGTTGCATGCATGGAACATATTTCGTCAATGATAGTTTTTAAATGACCTCTCATTTCTCAAATTCTGGAATAGGTAGGGCACATTTTGCAGGCCCTGAGTGAGCTCAGTCATAAAACTCCATTTTTTGGACCTTTAGGGACAGCTAGAGGGTGATGGCCAAATCTGACCCTAGGTTCTGCCTCGGTTTACCTTTTCAAATAAGTAATCAAGTTGGAAGATTACTTTTCAAATAAGTAATCAAGTTGGAAGATCGTTTAAAAGCAATTTATTATATTCTGATAAAGTGGGATCTCCCTAGGAAAAGGGAAAACTTCAAGACCCATCTTACATTCCCTTTTATAGTTAAGACATCAGAGAAAAGGCAAGAGAAAAGGCAACAAAAGTAACTCCCTTTGCACAGGCAACCAATTATATGCAGTCAAACGTAATACCACAGATAAAATGATGATAGAAGGGGCATAAATTTTAGGATACTAATAAGCAGGGGTGGGATTCTACAGGTTCACACCTATTCGCTAGAACCAGTTGTTAACATTCTAAGCAGTTCGGAGAACCGGTTGTTAGAAGAAATTATTGGCCTAATCCTGTAAGGAAGGCAGGGAGGAAGCATTCTGGTGTTGCTTACAGAAACTGCCTCTCCATTAACCCTTATTACGTTCTTGGCAGGACTAGACTTCCTGTCTCCGGAACTTCTCTGGAGTTTTCCCCCCCTCCTTTGCTGGTACTTTGCTTGTGTGGAGTGACCATTCAAAGTTACAATGGCACTGAAAAAAGTGACTTATGACTGTTTTTCACATTTACGACTGTTGCAGCATCCCCACAGTCATGAGAGGCCAGGTGAGGAGATAGTGCCTCAATGTGAGTGATATTGAGTTGGTCATGCCCAGCCAGTCACATGACCACCAAGCCATGCCCACCACCTAAGCCAGCTCAGTTCACCAAAAAAAAAATCCGGCCGTAGAAAGACTTACTTTAGGCAATTCTGGGCTAATTAGACCTAAAGACCTGTTATTTAGCAGAAAGCAGTTACCTCCAGAATTTCAGCGGATTAATTTATTTCCAATGCTGAATGCACAACAAGCATTCCGAAGCTATAAAAGGTGTACCATGCTGTTCATTTAGACCAGGAGTGCAAAAATTGTAGCTGAGCGTCTTTTCTAGACACCAAATGCTTCCATGAGTACAGCCAGTTTTCTTCCCTACATTGGACAACCTGGTTTCAAAAAGCAAAATGGCTGTAGTAAATATTTGCAACTGCTTCAGCCTTCTTTACTACTTAACACACACCCTCCCATACACTTTTGCTACTTTTAGCATATGAAGAGGCTGGGTATACTATAGCTCTAAAGCTTATGAAAACAGCATTCAATTAATCTATTCAACTAGACTATGGTGTAATATGGGGTTCTTGGAGGTCTCTGAACTTGTTTTCTTGCAGACTTTTTATTAGCCAACTAGGTAACTATATCACTGATGCCAGCACTGATGATGTTACCTAGTTGGGTAATGAAACGTCTGCAAGAAAACAAGCAAACTCAGAGAGCACCAAGGACCCCTCATTTCAACCCTGAACTACAAATATTCTCCTTTATCTGTACAGTATGATGTAATGGCAAAGCACTCCTTAAACCATGGGGGTCATACTCAACCATGTCATATGACATATCATGACGTTTACTGTCTTTGTGGAGCCAGGGTGGGTGAGGCATTTGCTTGACATATCTGGCCCATGGTTTGTTAGTTTCATTCCCCTGCCTTAAACAACGGGCCACTGGGTAGAAAACATCCTGTAGGAAACACAGCTCCATAACACAGTCCTTTAAGCAATTCCAATAAGAGTCCCACACGCATTTGCATCACCCAGGTGACCCTTAACACAGACAACCCTCCAAGCGGCCTCAAGGACTCTCTAAAAATAATGCAAATGTCCATCTGTCTGCAAGGAATATAAATCCTTCCATTTCCCACCATCCAGTCAGAACTGAAGAAGCTTCTTGGATGAGAAGCGAAAAGTCTTCCAAAGAAAAAAACCCAGAAAGCCCAGTTGCCTCCTGAAAAAGTATCTTTGGGACAACCACGACCTGGATGACTGAGAATCTCCATAGGCATTAAACAATATAGTTTCTATCGGGAAAGGCTGACGGTGCCATCTACTGAAGGCGTCTTTCCCTTGCACTTGATTGCATGGTGTATGTGTGTGTTTGTGTGTGCACTTGATATTGTGTGTGTGTGTGTGTGTGTGTGTGTGTGTGATTTCTGGATATTACTTTTGCAACCGGCCAAATTAATCCTCTCGGTTGAACTGAGGATCCCAGAAAGTGCCCGCTTGGAGCGCAATTTAGGAAGCGCTCAAAAATACAATACGATGGGCTGAGGAGCTCACAGAGACAGGGTCCCTTGGCGGATCGTCTCCGATTTCGCAAAGCAAAATAGCCGAGGAATACTTAACCCCTAACACACCGCTCCTCTTAACCCACCCCCGTTCCCACGTGCAGCAAGACGGAAGGGGAGGGCAGGCCGCGTCTTATCCGGAGGGAGCCATTGCGCATTTCCTGGGATAGGAGAGTTCCCTTCCTGCGGCTCGCCCCCCTACCGACGCAGGCAAAGAAGACAGAGCTTCGGGATGGTCTGCTGGTTCCCAAAGAGTCTCCCGTCTTCTAGGGGAGAGGGAAGGTGAGAAACTCCAGTTTTCCTCTGGCCCAGGTACAACCTCATTCCCACGAGAATGCGCGGGAAGGAATGCGCGCGCGGCAGACACCCGGCAAAAGAGACGCTGAGCGCGTGAGCGCGCCAGGCAGGGCTCCCTTTCTCGCGTGCCCGTCCCCTTGGCCGGCTCGTTGCCCACGCGGAATCCCAAGCTTGCGACCGTCCAGCCGTGCCTCCCCTCCTTCCCTGAATCCGAGGGTGGGTGGGAAAGCCAGGAACCGGGACGCTTTTCCCGCCGCCTCGCCTTTCCTCCAATGGAGAAGAAACGGCGGCGCCTGCTCAATTTCCCTGCCCGTCAGTGTCGCGGGCGACGCTCCGCTCTCTCCGTTTTTCCCCGGTTTGGATCGGGAATCCAGCCTCTCCCACACGTCCTACCTTCCTCTCTCCCCCACCCCACTCCCCTTACTTCGCAGGGGGCAACACGAGAATCTGACCCTTCCTCACTGGAGGTTTTTAAAGAAGAGGCTGGACAGCCGCCTGTCTGAAACGGTATACTATAGGGTCTCTGGACCTGGAGCAGGGGGTTGGACTAGAAGACCTCGAAGGTCCCTTCCAGCTCTATTCTGATTGATTGAGACCACATGAAGGGTATATGTGTGTGTGCTTGTGTGTGTATGCGTTTCTCTGTGTCTTTCTTAACTTGGACTCCTTTTCCCGTGAGAGGAATTGCTAAGGTCGGGATATAACATACATACATACATACATACATACATACATATATACATACATACACACACACATACATACACACATACACACCCACCCACACCCACACACCCCGGTGTGGAGCCGATCAGAACTTCATCCCAGAATTTGAGAGGGAGGGAGAGAGACTTTTACCTGTGCAAAGGGGCTTCTTTGCCCATCTCGAAGTAAGAATAAGTAAGCGATGCGGGCAAAGCAAAATGTCGGGCCTGCCACAACTTAAGACCTCTAAATAGAAACGATCTGTCAGGTCTGCTATCTTCAGCTTCTTTCGCTTGGCTGGCATCCTGCCATAAAAAAAGGGTGGGGGGAAGGAAGCAAAGGTGGGGTAGTGGGATGAGTAGACAAATGTGTGTGTGTGTGTGAGAGAGAGAGAGACAGACAGACAGACAGACTCTCTCTGTGTGTGTGTCTGTCTGTCTGTGTGTGGTGGGGGAGACAAGCTGACAAGAACCAGAGGGATAACGAATAAGCCGGTTGCCAGGGACACAGCCTGGGAGCAGAATGGGAAACTGCATCAAGAGGCGTCTAGCATCAGAGTTGTTTCCCAAAACATCGAAAAGGAATACTATTGGACACCGATGAACTGGTTTAGGTGGGAGGGCCAGGGAAAGAGGCAAAACTGGACTGGAATACTCAGATCTAACTTAATGTCAGACCTGCCCTGACCTAGACATTTACGAAAGAAAGATTCTGGATCCGATTAGATTGAATTGTTATGTTCTTTTACTAAAGTTAAGTGCTTGCAACCTGCAACCTAGATCTGAATATTCCCACACAAAAGTTACATAGTCTGACACGATCCTTGGCTCCATTTGTTGAGAAAGATATAGTTTATTAGAGGCCAAGAATATTGCAGTACAGGTAGTCCTTGACCACAATTAATATTAAATGAGAAATTTGTTAAGAGCTTTGCCCCATTTTATGACACTTTTTGCCCCGTTTGTTAAGTGAATCACTGTAGTTGTTAAATGAGTCACACTGTTATTAAGTGAATCTGGCTTTCCCTTTGCTTGTCAGAAGGTCTCAAAAGGTGATCACATAACCCTCAAGCCATGGCAAGCATCATAGATAAGAACCGTTTGTCAAGCATCTGAATGTAAATCACATGACCATGGGGATGCTGTAGTGGTCATAATTGTGAAAAGTGGTCATAAGTTGCTTTTTTTCAATGCTATTACAACTTCGGTCATTAAACAAATGGTTGTAAATCAAGGACTACTGAGAATCATGCACCAAAATTCTTAAGTTCTAGTTTCCCCTCCTTTAACTCTCTCTCATTGTTCACCCCAGTGTAACCAATCAGGATCAGGCAAGATGTTTTCATAATGTTCAATCCAAGGGAAGTTGGGTATGCGGCTCCCCCATTTCTTCCAGCTGGGTGACCATGAGGCAAGAAATTCAGCATTTTCATTTTCAAACCAATCCTTCTCTCCACAATTCGTGGCAGTCTGTCACTGCCGAACAGCATAGCGCAAGCAAGAAAAAGATGGCAGCTGACACAAAAAGCATTGATTTATTATGTGTGTGGTGGGGGAGGTCAAATCTTTTTGTAGGGTACAGAAACAAATGATGCATGTGTTCAGAGAATTTCCCTGGGTTCCTTCCGAGCTGGGAAGCAATCAAGATGCAGAGGCTGGCTGCTTTTGGAAAAAAAGATTTATTACAAAAAAAAATACAGACTGGCACGCCAGTGAGGAGGGTTTTTTTTTTTTTGGCATCATTTGGAGTTCTTTGTGTAAGGCATGAGATCACAAGAGTTGTATAAGTTGTATAAGTTTTATCACCCTTGAGAAACAGGAAACACAGGTGTGAAGTCAGAGGGCCTTAGAAAATATTTAGGCTGTTATCTCCCTCATCAGGAAAAATCTTCAGGGCCAGGCAGAGGTGCTAAATTCCAAAGGCTTTTAAATGTTAATTGGCTCCAGCAACAGATTCCTGCCTGTCAGTGATCTATTGCCTTAAAGGAAGCATATTTGTTTTTGACTGGCGATGGGTTTCTCCGATTCCAGATCAGAGGGCTGTTAAAAAGAGGCAGATTCAAAGACTTTTTAACTTTTATCACATGCGTTCAGTACACGGGATAGTCCGTAAATTAATGATCAGTTAAAATAAATTGATCGCTTGTGAAGTTTGAACAATAGAGAAAAAGGTTTTTACATAATATTCCACAAGTGACCAATGTATGGTTTACGATGATACTCTTTTTCCAGTTAGATTTGTGTCTTTTTTGCACATTGCAAGTGTATTCAGAAGTTGTGGGAGCTTCACCACTGGAAGCTTTCAAGAAGAGATTGCCCTGCCATCTGTCAGAAATGGCGTAGAGCAGGGGTTTCAAACTCAGTTTCATTGAGGGCCACATCAGGGATGTGATTGACCTGGACGGGGCATGGCTGACTGCGGGGCGTGGCCAGCTTGACGCCATTCCTCAAGTGTTGGCATGTTTCCTCTTCGCATTAGGTAGACTGGGCCGAAGCTACACTGGTCTGATCTTTCCTCTTTGTACTGGGTATACTGGGCCAAAGCTATGTTGTTCTGATCTTTCCTCTTTGTACTGGGTAGACTGGGCCAAAGCTACACTGGTCTGATCGTTCCTCTTCGCATTGGGTAAATCAGGATGGCCCCATGGGCCGGATCCAAACACAACGTGGGCTGGGTCAGCCTGCGGCCCTTGAATTTGTCACCTCTGGTGTAGAATCTCCTGCTTGGGCGAGGGAGGGGGGTTGGGGATGGGGTTGGAATAGATGACCTGCATGGTCCCTTCCAATTCTGTTATTCTTTTATTATGAAGTGGAGCTAATTCTGTTATTCAGGACAATAGCTCTCTATTTGTAGTTACTGAAAAAGCCAGCTCCCACACATAATCAAAGAAATAGCCTTGGATAAGAAAGGGGGAAAAGGTTCCGACCGATGCCCTAATTAAATCATGAGCCTCACGCCAAGCTTCAGAAAAAAACCAGTTATTTATTAGGAGTTTCATGCTGGCACGGACCAGGTGGAGCCAACTCTGACTTTACTTAATTCGTGCTTTGGCTCTGACCCTGTTTCCCCCTCCCCCCAAGATATGTCATCAGTCATATTCCCCAACGAAAGCAATTTTGAGGGTAGTAGAAGTCACTCCCTCCATACACTGGGTTTCTGTGGAGATGACCTTGATGTGCCGGCTGGAATGTGCTTTGACTGAAATGCAAGCTTCTTGATGGGGCTGCGAGGTTCGATTCCCCATCCCTCTTACCTAGGGCAACTTGAGAGCAGATCAGGGATGCTTCATGGAGTTGACATATGCTTTCTTAAAGATAAAAAAGTGGGTCAGACTTGGATAGTGTCACCTTTTAAAATGCTAATAATGAAGCCTGAAATTTGAGGCCACACCTTCCTACTTTGGAGACTACCCACATTGAAAAACTAACCGTGATGGAATGTGTAGGGGACGGAAGGTGTGGGATATCAGGAGAATTGGGGGTGGGGGAAGTTGGTAGTACCACTGGAGCTTCCCAGGGAAGAGGTAGCACATTCCAGAGAGGAGCAGGAACAGGTAGTTGCTATAGGGAGTCCTTAACCTACAACCAACTGGTGTGTGTGTGTGGTGTGTGTGTGTGTGTGTGTAGTTCTTGGTGTTCTCTGAGCTTGCTTGTTTTGTACAATCTCTTTGGTTGGGGTGTTTACTGCTGGCTCTTTGGCAGTTCTTAATCAAGAAACTGTCAAAGAGCCATCAGTAAGCAGCTCAACCAAAGAATCTCCCAAGACCGCCTCTATCCACCCACCCAGACAGGCAAGTCACCAGAATATAAGCTGACAGCAAACACCACTCTTTATTAGCACTGATGATGTTACCTAGTTGGGTAATGAAACGTCGGCAAGAAAACAGGCAAGCTCAGAGAGCACCAAGGACCCCTCATTTCAACCCTGAACTACAAATATTCTCCTTTATTACTACAACCAATCGATTAATGACTGTTTGTAGTTACAACCACTCCTGGAAAAAGGTGACTTTGGACCATTTTTTCACACTTATGGCTGTTGCAACATCCCCATTATCACGTGATCAAAATTTGGGCCCTCAGTAACTGGCACGTATTTATGAGTTGCCCTGTCCCAAGGTGTGACATGATCCCTATTTATATCTTTCCCAGCTGGTGTCTGACAAGCCTACTCCATGGGGGGGGGGGGGGGAGTGCAGATTGAACTAACAACTGCATGCTTCATTTAACAATTGCAGCTTAAAAACTGTGGCACAACACCCCCCCATAAAACAGGGTGTAACTCACTTAACAACTCTTTTGCTTAGCCACAGGAGATTTGGGCTCAACTGTGGTTGTAAGTCGAGGACTACCTGTATTGCTGATGCTCCCCTCCCCACATGTCCTTCAACTGCACATCCTGTCTCAACCAGCAGAGATATTTGCTCATAGTGTTGAGGGAATGATTTGTTTAGCAGAGTGATGGCGTTCAGGAAAAAAACTGTCCTTGTGTCTAGTTGTTCTGGTGTGCAGTGCTCTATAGCGTTGTTTTGAGGGAAGGAGTTGAAACAGTTTATGTCCGGGATGTGAGGGGTCTGTAAATATTTTCATAGCCTAGTGACAATTAGGTTGTTTCAGGTATTTGGTAGTATCTGGTTCTGTTTTGTTGGACGTCTTGTGGCTTGAAAATGCTCTTCAGCAGTGGTCCCCAATCTTTTGGGTATCAGGAACCAGTTCCATGGAGAGAGGCTTTTCCGTGGATTGGAGGGGCCGTGGTTTTGCACGCTGCCTATATCCCTTGGGTGGGGTTTCACTTGTTTGCAAGGCCTGATGCCAATCCACGGACCAAGGGTCAGGGACCCCTGTTCTATAGGTAGTCCTTGACCCAAGACCATTCAGTAAACTGTTTGAAGTAATACAACAGTGGTGAACGAATGATGGTTATGGCTGGTCTTTGGAGTTCTGTCTGGCCCAGCAACTCTGGTCCTATGACTTTGTTCTGGGTACTGGGAAACTGGTTCATGCTTACAACTAGTTGCAGTTCCTTGCAATTGTATGTTCACAAATTGTAACCTACCACGGAAATCTAATAGGGAAGCTGTCAGGGGAGGTTGCAAGTTGCTGGGATATGTTTCCCCATCTGCACACACTCCCTCAGCCCCTTTGGTATTTACACTGGCACTCCGAGACCTTTGCTAGTTAGAGCAATAGCGCTTAGACTTATATATCACTTCACAGTGCTTTACAACATTCTCTAAGTGGTTTTAGAGTCAGCATATTTCCCCCAACAATCTGGGCCCTCACTTTACCAAACTTGGAAAGATGGAAGGCTGAGTCAATCTTGAACTAGTCAGGATAGAAGGAATCGAACTCCTGGCAATGGGAGCATAATTATCCTGCAGTGCTGCATTCTAATCATTTTGCCACCACAGCTCTTTACAGCTAGTGTAGGAGGTCCCTAACCCCCAGTCTATGGGCTAGCACTGGTCTGTGGCCTACCAGAAACTGGTCTGTGCAAATAAGTGAAACCTCATCTGTGGGATGCAGGCAGCACATGAAATCTTGCCCCCACTGGTCAGAGGAAAAACCTCTCCACAGAACCAATTTCTGGTGCCCGAAAGATTGGGGGCTGCTGAGCCTCTTCCCCACCCCTTGTGTATTCCTCCTGACCCATGCCACTCCTCTCATGTACCTTCCTGATCTGTGCAACCCTGTGTGGCCGACGTACAACCGTCCTGACCAGCACCACAACCTTTTGCACACTTCCTTGTACCTTTCCAGACACATTGCATTTCTCATATATCCTTCCAAACCTCTTGTGCACCCCTCACACTTTTCCTAATCTTTGTCATGCCTCTCATGCACTCCTTCCCAGATCTGGATTGCATATTTTGTGCACCTCCTCCGAACCCTCACACACCCTCCCCAACCTGCACTATGCCTCTCATGCATTCTTTCACACTCTTGCACATTGTCTTGCTCCTTCCCTGGGACTTAAAACTCTTCCCTGTCTTGATCTATGACCACATTGTTTAGCAACAGAAATTTTGATCCAATTGTTGGAAGATGAGGGCTACCTGTATTTTTTTTTCTTTGGTTCACAATTGCCAACATTTTTTTGTTTTTGATTTTAGATGTAGATATTTCTTAAAAAAAAGAATTATTGTACTTTTTTCGTTTTACAAATCTCAATCATCTTTAACAGTACTGAGGCATCTTTGTTACATACACACATTTCCATACATATCTAATTATTCATATACATTTCTATATCTTATTCTAATCTCTACAATTCTTATTCCTATTGTCCATCCATTCATACCAATTTTCCCAAACCGTATAATACTCCGAGTCTTCCTTGCCTTTTAACTCTAGGGTGAGTTTATCCATTTCCACACAATCTAAGACCTTTTGAATTACTAGACCTCCTGATGGTATAGTATCCTTTTTCCAACATTGTGCGAGTGCGATTCTCACTGATGTGCTTATATGCAAGACCGTGTATTTTATCTTTTTATTATATTTCCCCTTAATTATCCCTAAAAGGAACAATTCCGGCTTCAATTCTATTTGACATTTTGTAATTTCGTACAACCATTTTTGTATTTTAATGCAATACTTTTTAACTTCGGGGCATAGCCACCATGAGTGAAAGAAGGTACTTTGTCCCTGTTTGCATTTCCAACAACTTGGGTTCAGATTCGGGTACATTTTTGCCAGCCTTGTTGGGGCCAAATGCCAAAGATAAACATCTTACATTGATTTTCCTTGTATGCAGCAGACTTTGTGATTGTATAGTTTTTATTCCAATTTTTTTCCCAATCTTCAAGCTCAATATTATGTCCAAAATTTTTGACCTATGCTATTATGGGTCCTTTTACTATGTCTTCTTCCATGTCGAATTTTAGTAAATAGTTACATATTCTTGATATTAATTTCTCTTCTGTGCCTAAATTGCCAACATTTTTTGACCAGACACATTTTCTTTCTTTTTTTTCTCTTCAGCAGGCTGGAAGAATCCTCTTCATCTCTTTTCTGGAGGATGTCTGTTCATGGGGAGAACATAAGTTCTGAAAAATAAGCAAGTTAAGTTGCTAAGTTCCGAAAAATTAGCAAGAGGTGACAAGGATGGCTTCTTGAGGAATCTGACTTCCTAGTAGTTTCTAAGCTGGTTGCTTCTTTTTTCCCCATTTCCAAAACCAGAAGTCTAAATTAAAGTGGAAATGGAGAAGTGTCTACCTTCTGTTGGGACAGTGAAGAAATTCCCAAATTGCTCATCCTCCTGGAGGGACCGCATGGATCTAAGTGGAACGGTGGTAAGGCCCCAGTGCTGGGAAGTCTGGCAACAGGTCCTCCTGCCGACTCCACAGCACAAAGAGACAGATGCAACCCCTCCCAAGACAATGCTGGACGATATTCAGATTTGTGTGGTTTCCTCTGAAAATTCTTCTGAATCCTTTAAAGAGAAGGAGGACGACACTGAAGGAGTGGTTGGAATTGATTGTTTGATTACTATTGAAGAAGAAATTGAAGTCCAAGGGAAGTCCTCACCAGAATCTAGGATTGAGCTCAGAGATGATATCAAGATTTGCACCGTGCCTGAATTACAAGACAAGGCCCCATTTATTGCAAGACGAGGTTCCAAAGGTGGAGGGAGGACTAAGGACTTCACAAAAGCTGTTAAAGGTAGAGGCCTCTCCAAGGTTGAAAAGGCCACTCAGACTGAAGTCACCCAGATGGAGATGGCTAAGATCTGTGAGGGCTATATTCAGAAAGCAGAAGGATCCAAGGACATCTTACGGGGCAATTGCCAGGCCAATGTGGTTTCCCAAAACAAACCAAGAGATTCTGAAGAAGGGATGATCCATTTGACAGAACCTGATGGAATAGGAGAACCTGAAGAGGCAGCTTGTGATAATCTCACATCTGGAGACAAGGAAAATGAGGAGGAAGAAGAGAGAGGCGTCTTGAAAGAAGAAGGTATTGCCATGGAGAGTGCCCGCCAGAGTTTCCGCTGGTACTGTTACCCAGAAGCCGAGGGACCTCGAAAAGCTTACGGGCAACTATTGGACCTTTGCCACCATTGGTTGAAACCAGAGAGCCGTAGTAAGGAACAGATTCTAGAACTGCTGGTCCTGGAACAATTTTTGGCTATCTTGCCCAAAGAAATACAGAGTTGGGTATGGCAGCAACACCCGGAAAATTGTGAGCAGGCTGTTGACTTGGTGGAAAACTTTCTGACAGGACTGTCTTTGCTTGAGAGACATGGGAAAAAGGTAGGGGATCTTAAAGGCCATTGGCTGTGAGGCAGAGCATCTTAATATTGATCCACTTGCCTCAATAGTTTAGAGCGTCATGGTGTTAGAATCACTATTTGAGGTTGATAAACAATCTATCCATGAGGAAAGGGATTTCCCAAAGACCGAAGATCACATCTTCAGTTTTTCAGACTGAGGAACTCTGGAGAAGCAGGAATTTATATAGGGAAGCTTGGATTGCTATTGGATCGTTTGGGTCACCTGACTCTTTGGAGTTCTTCAGTGTTCCCCAGTGATGTACCTTTGAGAACTCATTCATCTTTTAACAGAGTTGGAAGGGACCTTGTAAGTCATCTAGTCCAACCTCCTGCCTAAGCCGGAGACAAACCGTTCTGTGGCAAATCATCCTATTTCTAACAATTCATTCTTGAAATAAGGATGAGTAGCTACTCACCTGGCAAGGTTGATGTTGTGGGGAAAATAGGAGGAGGAAGGTGTGTTAGATGCCTTGATGTATTGATGCCTTGAGTTCACTACCTTGAGGTATATGTTAAAAGCAAGGCAGAATACTATACCAATTAGTTGATATAACAAATGGATGAACTGATGCTTGCAGGCGGTTTTGTAAATTCATGAACAAATGATATTGTTTTAAAATTAAGGGTCCCCCCTTTTCATGCTGTAGAAGTATAATAGATTAATATGTATTCTTTGGGATTCTATCAATATTCCTTACTTTTTTGTCATTTAAATGATTTAAGGAAATGTGCATGATTTAGTGATTCTGTCTTAGTATAAATAATATATATGCTATTCCTTAATTTGAATGCAAGATTTAAACCACACCTTTGGCATTTAGAATGCAGTTGCTCCTGCCTTCTCAAAGAATCATATAACATGTCTGTGACTAACTTTGTTTAGCGACTGTTCAAAGTTTCCACAGCACTAAAAAAAAGTGACTTAGCTCAATCCTTACGCTTATGACCGCTGTACAGTCCAAACAGTAACATGTTTAAAGTTTGGGTGCTTGGCAGCCGGCATGAATTCATTATGGTCGCAACAACCTGAGGTTATGTAACCCACCATTTGTGACCTTCCCAGCTGGCTTCTGACAAGCAAAGTCATTGGAGGAAGCCAGATTCACATAATGACTATGTGATTCATTTAACAACTGCAGTGAATTGTTTTAACAACCATGGCAGGAAAAAAACCCCATAAAATTGAGTGCGGCTTGCTTAACAACCCACTTGTCAGGGTTCCAAGTAATAAATCCATTGCAAGCAAAAACTCTGAGGTAGGTGAATTCCTCAAAGAATAGCTTTATTGGAAATTTCATATTGGCACATATCTGGTGAAAACCAACTCTGAAGGGCCCCTTGGTTTTCACCTAATTAAAAGTAAAAGATTTTCCCCCAACCCCAATCAGTCACATACATGGAGCAATCACTGCAGCGTCTGCTAGTCTGGTGACATTACTGCTCCTTCCTCTGGCCAGGTCCTTGGTTCCCAGGAGAAAGTCTTGAGAAAATGTTTTATTTTGACTACACAAGCCCAGCTCTCTCTAATCCCCTCTCCCTATCCCTCGCTCCAGTATGACAGCAAGGAAACTCCAAGATGGCTTCGGCCAGGTCAGCTTCAGAGTTGATACCACATGCTTAGCAACAGAAAATGTGGGTCCCAATTGTCGTAAATCAAGGACAAGCTGCAACAACTGATCGTTTCTACATTCTCAGCAGTTTCCCTTGGTCGTAGTCCTCGACTTACGGCCACAATTGAGCCCAAAATTTGCATTGCTAAATAACGCAGTTGTTAAGTGAGATTTGCCTCACTTTATGACTTTCTAGCCACAATTATTAAGTGAACCATTGCAATTGTTAAGTTAGGAAGCATGGTTCTTAAGTGAATGGCTTCCCCATTGGCTGAAGTTTATCAGAAAGTTGCAAAAAGTGATCCCATGATCCTGGGACACTACAACTATAAATATAAATATGAGTCAGTTGCCAAGCAGCCAAATTTTGACCACATGACCCTGGGGATGCTGCAAAAAATAGTCCTAAGTCATTTTTTTTCAGTGCCATTGTAACTTCAAACGGTCTCCAATTGGTTGTAAGTCAAGGACTATATGTATAGGATGGGGTCTCAATTACTCACCATTTGAATGGTTTCAGGCTCTGGTGACTTTTGAAGAGGTGTCCATGTATTTCTCAGAGGAAGAATGGAGACTCCTAGATGAATCTCAGAGGAAGATTTTCACAAAAGTGATGATGGAGAATTATGAGAATGTCCGAGCATTGGGTGAGAGTTGGACAGGACTGGGGAAGTGTAACGGGCTGGGAGAGTAAACCTGAGGGACAGGAAGGAGGGCTGAAGCCTACACTGGTATTTCTTAACTATGACCACCTGAAGATGTGTGGACTTCAACTCCCAGAATTCCCCAGCCAGAGAAATCCGAGTCCAACGCAGACATGGAAGTGGAGAAAGCCTCTTAGAATTGGCCCTTCCGCATTCTCTGGAATGCAGAGTCAAGGAAGGAAGAGGCGCTTAAAAGATGCTGTTACTCTAACCTTAAAATAAACTTAGAACAGTATTAGTATTGTTTTCCGGATCTGGACTACTTTGAAGCTCTGTCAAAAAGAGACTTGTATCTTATATAATGTGTGTGGCCTAAACCTGGCTCACTTAACGAAATCGCTTAACAACAAATTAAGCGTGCAGATACATTCATCGAATGGTCAGCTCTCTGCAAAGCATTGGCCATTTGTGACCAATCCTGAACAAAAGCAGAACTAGAGCTTATATACCTTTGCCTTGTTATACAGTATTATGAAGACAAGACAAGGGAGAGACTGTGTAAATTAGATTTAGCCAGGCTGGACTTTGGAAGGCTTTTAATAAAGCCTCCCATGTAAACATATTTATCCTTTCCTACTAGGTTAGCATAGCAGCCAAAGACCTCTGAGATATGGTTGGTGAATATATATGACCTGTGTGTTAGGCTATCTTTTACCACCACAGTAATAAGTAAGATCACTGAGCCGCAAACCATAACCAGATGCCTTCTAAAGCAGAATTCTCCAACCTTTATGGTGGGTGGGATGGGGAAGGGATGGCACTGATGTGTGTGCCGCTCCATTTGCACGAACAGTGGGCATGCGTGACTGCTGCTCGCGCAAATGGAACACGTATACAGGTGCTTGCCCACTGCTCGTGCAAGTGGGGATGCCACACGTTCGCCCGCCACTTCCCACGGCCCGGTTCCGAGCAGTCCAAGGCCCGGTAGTGGACTGTGGCCCGGGGGTGGGGACCCCCGTTCTAAGGGAGGAGCTGCTGATTGGTTCCTTCACCATAAGTTTGAGCCTACAGCATGTGTTGCCATTGAAAACCGGAAGTTGGGTTTAACTTGTGCTGTTGAAACATTCTAACGTGACATGCAGGCAGATTTGAGTTTTGTGTAAATTCTCGTGGATTATCGTCTTTAAGATGTTTTGCTTTTTTTTTTTTTTTAAAGAAAAACACACACACATTTCTCCACCCCACCTCCTTTTTTTCCTTTTTTACAGGATTTCCCACCAACGATCCAGATCTCATCTTCAAAATGAGGAGAAATGAGAGCCATGAACTGTACACGGATAAAATTGAGAACGGTGTATCTCCAGAAGGTGTATCTCCAGAAGTCACAGGTGAGGAAAAGGTTGCTCCTGATTTGACTTGATTTGCTTCTGTGGCCAGAAGCAAGAATTGTTGCCATGGGGCTCCTTTGTGAAACAATTTATAATAGAGGTGACTTTCTCAACACTGGAGTACCTACCCCACTGGGATGTGTAGCAGCTACATGAGGGCATGGCACCTCTTCCAGGAGAAAATTTTTCAGAGTGATTGATATTTATTTAGCATATGGCATGTGGAGCATGTGGATATTATTCTCTTCATTTAATGACCCCCTAATCCCTTGCGGGGTGGAGTCTGGGCAACTGAATGGGCTAGCAGAGTGTTTTAATGGCTGGATGCCCTTCCTGTCGCCAATATGGAGTTTTGTTCAGCAGATATATTCTTAGTGCATCCAGAGAGAGAAATATCTGCCTCTACCTAGGATCGAACTCACAACCTCCTGATTGTGAGGTGAGAGGTCCACCTCTAGGCCACCGCACCACTCCTATGGAGCATATGGATAACAGAAATAAAATTATATGGAAGGCACACATAGTGCTATGGTACATGTATGATGGAAATATGTAGCCTGGTAAGATTTGAAGAATTCAAGAAGTTAAATATAAGTTATAGACCACATCGTGCTTGTGTCAGAAGCACAGAGATGCTTCTGAGTTGAAAGGATCATCACCATTGCCTGGGAGATGCACATTTGGGGGCTTCTTTCATGATCCCAGCAGGAGCTGGAGCAAAGGACGAGAACTCATCCTACCCCAGGGCAGCATGCAGCTCTCAAACACAGGCTTGCTCATTTCTATCCAAGCATCTGAACCACGAGTGTCAACGTGCTCCTTTAGTTATAGATTACATTTTAAAATATGTTGATTCATAAGAATAAAATAAGTTTTCTATATATTAATGTCTAGACCATTTATCCAATTAAGAGTAGTATTTGTTAATTGGAGAAAGTCTGCTTTTCCTCTTGTTTAAGCTCTCAAATGGCAGCTAGTCATTAATACAAGGACCTTTAAACTTGGCAAGTTTAAGACTTGTGGACTTCAACTCCCAGAATTCCTGAGCTAACATGACTGGAGGAGGAATTCTGGGAGTTGAAATCCACAAGTCTTAAAGCTGTCAAGTTTGAAGACCCCTGCATTAATAGATTGTGGACCCTATATTATTATTAATGGTCTGCTACAGGTAGAGTTTTGCTGAACAGTATGGTGATTTTCAGCAAAACAGTTGTAAAGAAGGTTACCAACACCTAACAGAACCTGGCAGAAGCCATTTTCCTGGTTCAGTGTTGCTACGCTATATGGGAGAGGGGAGGAAGTTGTAATTTATTACTAGACACAACATAGAGCATTCTTGGGAGAACCAAGGTCATCTCCTGGGTGGTGAAGAAAGGAGGAGAGGAATACAGGTGAAGCCTAATTGGCTAATGTGATTAATGACACTGGGGGGAAGGGATCATCACTGGTTTTAACCCAATACTGTAACCTGGGAAAAAAGTCAGAGTTGGCTTTCCTTCAAAGGGTGCCGATATGGTTTACCCAATAAGGAAGTTTTTTGAGGAAGTCTGGAACCTTTACAAAGGTCACATAACCTCAGGATTCTGTAAACAGTTATAAATGCAGCCTGGTTGCCATGCACCTGGTTCAGTCATGTAACTGCAAGAAGAGGTGACCGTCGGAATTTAGAATAATAGTAGTACTGTGTTTCTCCAAAAAGAAGGCTGGGTCTTATTTTTCTTTTTGACCCCAAAAAAACCAGCTAGGCCTTCTTTTTGGAGGGTTCTAATTATTGACACCTCGCAGCAGTGGCACCGACAGCCCTGCTCAGCAGGAGCTCGCTGCTGACCCACTTCTTCTGTGGCTGCTTGCAGCCAATCGCACGCATCGCCCCGGCCTCCATTTTGCCTTCAGATGCCTTCTGGAAAGCCCTCTGCAGCTGATAATAGAGCTCCGGACCGATCCGGAGCTCTGTTATTGGCTGCAAATGCTTTCCAGAAGGCATTTGTAGAGCTCTGTTGTCGGCTGCAGTGGGCTTTCCAGAAGGCATCTGAAGGCGAAATGGAGGCTGGGGCGATGCGTGCAAGTGGTAGCAAGCGGCCACAGAAGAAGCAGCTGCAGAAGAAGGTGAGGCAGGTGTCGCGGTGTGTGAGGCCTGGTGAGTAGGAAAGCTCCACCCCCACATCCCCACCCTAACTTATTTTTTACCTGTGTGCCTCGCCCCACCCCCTGCATCCCAGGGTGGGTGGGGTCTTAATTAGGGCTAATTTTGTGGGTGGGGCTTAATTTGATCGCAGGCGCTCAAAAACATGATAGGGCTTCTTTTCAAAGTGGGTCGTCTTTTTGGAGAAACACGGTAAGTAGTCCCTTGGTAGGTCCGTCGTAAACTTTGGCCAGTAAGCAACCGGTCATAAGTTGAGGACTACGTGCATGCTAAAGTAGAGGTTTAACAGGATCTAGTTTCGTGTTGACTGGAATTTCAGAGTGTCAACCAATGGGAAAGAACAGTGCTCCAGGATGAATATAATTCCTACTCTTTTCCCTCCCCTCCCCCCTTCCCCTTTAAAGGAGAGTTAGAGTTTTCAAATGAAAAGGAGAGGCTGGCAACCTGGAGACAAAAGGATATGGAGGATGCCCTGCCATCTGGGCCAACGTCTCCGAGACTTCTCAAGAGTTGTGGTGCCACTGTCAAGGGTCGTTCTCCCAGAACGGAGAGGGCGAGATCCTTTTGGCAGCAAACCATGCCAGGTTTTGTATGCCCAGACTGTGGCAAGGCATTCTTAAGCAAATCAGACATGGCTCGACACCAGTGGTACCACTCCAGAAAGAAGCCCTGCCAGAGCTTGAGTTGTCCCAAGAGCCTTGCCAAGCCCTCCCAACCGGCCCAGCAGCAACCTCGTCCACCTGGAGAGTGTCAGTGCTCCAAGTGCGGGAAGCGCTTTACGGATCGCCACGGACTGATGTGCCACCAAGCGGTCCATGCTGCCAAGCAACCTTTCCACCACCGTGCGCATTGCAGGGGCTTCTACTTTAACTACAACCTGCGCCAGCACCAAAACCAGAACCAGCAAGAATCCGCGGCAAAACCCCTCTTTCACTGTCCTCAATGTGGGAGGCAGTTCACTCGCCGCTGTAACCTCATCCAGCATTCGCGGATACATCAGTATCCGTGGCATCCACAAGAGAAGAGATGGACCCTGGAGACCAAATCCAATGAAACAATGGAAGTTCAGGTTGGGCGCTGTGCATAGCAGCACAATTGGGGGTTCTCTGTACTGGGAACCCTGAAAATAAAGAGGTGGTGGGGTTTGGGGGAGGGGACAGTGATGATGCCAGATTTTTTTTTCTCCTTTTCCTAATGATTTCCTGTAAGGACAGACTCTGCTCCCCTCCCCCCCCCCAAAGTGTTGATCTATGTGTTGCGATATAGGAACCCACCAATTGACTGGCTTGTTGCTTGTCAGATTGCAGACGGAGCGAGAGATTTGATGGCGGAGATGATGACTCTCCACTCGTCCAGGATGGAGCGCTGTTCCACTAGATCAATTGGGTAGATGTTCTAATCTAAATCTCCAACCCACTAATGAGACTCTTCCAGATAATCCTCTGCAGACGCTCAGTAGGAATTCCAGCTTTTCTCAAGGCCAGGGAATCCATACTGAGGAGCACTCTGAAACATCTTGGGAATGCTGACATCCTTTTAGTTTGTCCAACTTAGCCAGCCAAGATCAGTTTGCTTGTGTTTTTGGCCAAGTCTTTGCAGGTCTGGATTGTCCGCAAAGTTTTAGGCAGTATTTGAACAACGACCATCGACAACACTAAAGGATCATTGAGTCATTCCTATGGACAAATATCCGTTCTGGTGTAACAAATGTGAATAAAATGTGTAGAGACTATTCTAGCAACCAGTAAGTCCAAGACTAGTTGCAAGTTTTGGCATTTGCTTCTATACAAAATACCTTTGTCCTCTCACCTGAATTCTGTGACGATGATTTTGTAATTCAGTGTTTCTCAAATTGGTGGCTTTAAGATGTGTGGACTTCGACTCCCAGAATTCCCCAGCCAGCCTTTTAAAGCCATCAAGATTGTAACCTATCTTGATGGGTGAAAAAAAAAATTCTGGGCAAGTTGGATTGCAGGAAGTCTTGGTTATAATGGGCTTGGAATACTTGACTTGGATGGTCTAGGGTGACCCAAGCCAGTTTGATTTGTAACAATTTGTGACTTTGACTGGGATGTGGGGTTCATGAATTTTTTTTTAAAAAAAATTGCTGGTGTAGAAATATTTATCTTTGGATTTGAGAAAGCATTACTTCAGTAGAGGTAAATGCAAAAAGGAGATAGTTAGCTAAAAAATATTGATGCCCCCCATTTGTAAATTTGTAATTGTACATAGTTTTCTACTCCAAAGATTTATTCTGGTTCATCCTTAGAAATTCAAGAACCAGGCATTGGTGCCAGATCTTGTTCTGATTTTGTTTGTGGTTCATGCTTTGTTTCACATTCAAATGACAATGGGACACCCCAATTAGGTAACCTGCATTACCTAGATAACTTCCATCAATTATTTTATAGTTATTTTCCTCCATCAGAATTGGAGAAATTGAAGGTTGTTATAAGTTATCTCTAGAACTTGGTTGACAGTCCTGTCAAATGGAGAAAAGAACCAAGAACCTATGACCATGGATGCATTCAATCAGAATATTCCTAATGCCAGAGACTTTTCAGACAGCCAGTATCAAATAAATATAGAACAGCGGCGTCAAACTCAATTTCATCCAGGCCCACATCAGTGTTGTGTTTGACTCCGAAGGGCATGGTGGGTGAGTGTGATGGATGGGTGTTGCCAGCTCAACGTCACTCATCGAGTTTCCGTTTTCAGATGCAACGGTCTCTTGCAAATCTTCCACCAGTGAAAACCAGGCTCGAGAGACCGCGCTCAGTCCTGCCAATGAAAATGGAGCTCAGGGTGGCCTTGAACGGAGCCCAGGCAGTCTCTCCAAGCTTCATTTTCACTGGCAGAGGCACTGTGGGCCTGTACTTTGCTGTTTCCAGGGTGGCCCCATGGGCCAGATTTGGCCGGCGGGCCTTGTGTTTGACACCCTGATATAGACTAAGCTTTACACTAGTGTGTGGTCAGCATTTAAGAACTGGATTGTAACCTCTAGATGACCACTAGGTGTCAGCAAGAGTATCTCCTTGTTGCCTTCTACTGATTATGTAGATTTTTGCAGATTGAATAAGTTAGAGCAGGGATCCCCAACCTTTTCAACGCCACGGCCCGGTTCCGGCATCAGCTGGGCGCCGCGGCCCGGTACCAGCGTCAACTGGGCGCCGCCATCTTTTTATGACGAAAAAGCGCTTCCGGTGAGCTTTCTACCCGGAAAAGCTCACCGG